GAAAAGAACAAAAGAAAAGGTAAATTGATTGTGTTTAAATTGAAACTAGCTTAAAAGTGAAGCCCCATAGTGCATATGAAAACTAAAGATGGAAAAAAGTGTTCTGAAAAGGGAACGCCACCAGTCTCAAGTATTGAGTCATTGTCAAGCTTAAAATGTTTTTAGCATTAATAGCTAAAAGAGATAATAGTTGAGAGATTTCATGTTTCAACAAGGTCATCTTTTCCTCAATGCTCCCCCACCACCCCCAGGCTTCCTCTATTCAAACACTCATCCATCTCTTGTCAGGAGTTAAGCAAACAAATGTCAGAGACAAATGGTCATCCATAATATGTTCACCTCTATACCATTAGTTCTCAGTTCAGTGCTGTGTGAATATTACACTGTCAAAACGTGTTATGCAGCTTAGAAGTCAATCCAACAGTCCAGCTGGCCTCTAAAAAAGTGAATCTAGCAAGACTTTATTCCATCTACTTAAAGAAGAGCAAGTGATTTCAACTAGAGCCTTGGCCAATATTTATTCTTTAACCCACATCACTAAAACAAATTTATCTGGCCACCTATCAAATTCCTGACTCTGGGGCCATGCTGTATCTAAACTATTAGACTCACTTATTTTACAACAGTGAGCATACTTTAATAAGTACTTAAACAGTAGTCCCTTAGATCAACTCAAGGACATGAAAAGGAGTATTTTAAAATGAAAAGTTCTTTTGTCTCCTTTTCCCTTTGATGACAATGGCCCTGGCCATGAAGCAGAAAGTGTGGTGGATGGACCATAAAGGTATGATGATGCAAAAACTAGATTGTGTTTCCGAGTCATATTAAGATAAAAGCTATCGTACAATTTCTAGGTGTCATCACAATGCATTTTTGCAACTGGAACAAGACCACCTAAAAAAAAAGTGGTAAACAACACCTACTTTAAGAAAAAAAAAAAAAAAAAAAAAAAAAAAAAATCAGAAAATGGAGTCAGATTTTTGACATTATCATTTTAAATATTTCAGTGCTAGCAAAAATACTTCTGCAGAACTGTAATTTTTTTTTACTCAAAATGTTAATTCTTTCTACACCGATGCTGGCAAAGCTGCTGAATCCCACTTCCTACAGACAAAGGTGGTAGCCATGGGTACTCACATAGGCCCAAGCTATGCCTGCCTCTTTGTAGGTTACGTGGAACAATCCTTCTTCCGTAGCTACACTGGCCCTAAACTCCACCTCTTCCTCCGTTACATCGATGACCTTATCGGCACTGCCTCGTGCTCCCACGAGGAGCTCAAACAGTTCATCCACTTCACCAACACCTTCCACCCCAACCTTAAGTTTACCTGGACCATCTCTGATACCTCTCCCTCCTTCCTGGACCTCCTGTTTCCATCTCTGGCAACCACCTGGAAACTGATATCCATTTCAAGCCCACCGACTCCCACAGCTACCTAGAATACACCTCCTCCCACCCACCTTCCTGCAAAAATGCCATCCCCTATTGCCAATTCCTTCACCTCTGCCGCATCTGCTCCCAGGATGAGGCATTCCACTCCCAAACATCTCAGATGTCCTCGTTTTTTTGAGGACTGCAACTTCCTCCCACCTCAGTGGTCAAGAACGCCCTCTACTGTGTCTCCCGCATCTCATCCCTCACACCAAAACAGAATCCCCCTCGTCCTCACGTACCATCCCACCAACCTCTGGATCCAACGCATCATCCTCCGACACTTCCGCCATCTGTAATCCGACCCCACCAAAGACATCTTTCCCTCCCCACCCTTACCTGCTTTCCAGAGGGACCACTCTCTCCATGACCCCCTTGTCCGCTCCACTCTCCCCTCCAGCCCCACCACACCCGGCACTTTTCCCTGCAACCACAGGAAGTGCTACACCTGCTCCTACACCTTCCCCCTCACCCCCATTCCAGGCCCCAAGAAGACCTTCCACATCAAGCAGATGTTCAGCTGCACATCTGCTAATGTCGTATACTGGAACAGCAGATACAGATGTGGCCTCCTCTACATCAGGGAAACCAAGCGGAGGCTTGGGGACCGCTTTGCGGAACACCTACGCTCAGTTCACACTAAACAACTGCACCTCCCAGTCGCGAACCATTTCAACTCCCCGTCCCATTCCTCAGACGACATGCCCATCCTGGGCCTCCTGCAGTGCCACAACAATGCCACCTGGAGGTTGCAGGAACAGCACCTCATTCTGCTTGGAAACCCTGCAGCCCAATGGTATCAATGTGGACTTCACGAGCTTCAAAATCTCCCCTCCCCCAACTGCATCCCAAAACCAGCCCAGCTTGTCACCGCCTCCCTAACCTGTCCTTTCTTCCACCTATCCCCTCCTCCATCTCCCACCTACTAGCCTTGCCCTTGACCTGTCCATCCTCCCTGGACGGACCTATCCCCTCTCTAACTCCCCACCTACACTCACCTTTACTGGCTCCACACCTGCATCTTTGACCTGTGTCTCCTCTCCACCTATCTTCTCCTTTATCCATCTTCTATCTGCCTCCCCCTCTCTCCCTATTTATTTCAGAATCCCCTTCCCCTCCCCCGTTTCTGAAGAAGGGTCTAGGCCCGAAACATCAGCTTTCCTGCTCCTCTGATGCTGCTTGACCTGCTGTGTTCATCCAGCTCAGCACCTTGTTATCTCAAATATTTCAAACACCTTCTGTTTTTATTTCAGTTTCCATAATCCATATTATTTTGCTTTAATTAAAATAGGATGTCATAGTGGCTTTTCGCTAACAATGCAAAATTTTGCTACCAAAGCGAGGCTCTTGCTCGTACACACAAGCCCATCACAGACACACAAGAGAGTTCAGATCCACTTTAATGCTGAACAATGAAAGGATTTTTTTTACAAGTTTATGCTGACAGCACTAAATAGCTTTGAACAAGCGTTGGTTTCAAGCCAGCACCTGAAAAATAAAGAATCATATGCCACTCACTAAACAACAAAATGGGTCAAGCTAACAATTTTTCAGGTGTGTAAAATTTTCAGATAAACAGGAGGAAATGCAATTCTGTCTGCAGTTGTGATTCTTCAAGTCACACGTACCTTAACTCTCATTTGGTAATTAGTTATGATCAATAGTGCTTCTGTAAGCCAAATAAAAATGTTCTGTCCTCTTTAAATATAATCGTGCTCACAATTCTACACCAAAATACTGCATTTCATAACTCTATGCCTTAATTGTGCCAGGTGTCCTTTAGCTACAACTGTCATTATTTTTTGAAATGGTCATTAAATGTGGGCGGAAATAAACAGACGAACCAAATATCTAGGATTGACAATACTCCCTGGTTTTCTTTCATCCTCATCTGTAATGGAGCCTAATTCTAGAGCCCCGCCCACAGAATCCAATTCCAGGTCTTTCAACTTCTCAGTTCTCCAATATCCCAGATCGTTATCCTGATCCAGGGATTCACATAGTCATGTGCAACCTGCCAAAGTGGTTACTGGCCATCCCACATGCCTGGTAGATCCCAACCCACATGAGAGGGTTATGTCCTGCAGACCTCTTTCCAGGACAATGCAGCTTACAGCCAAAATCAAGTTAATTAAATATTCAAATTTGAGACTGTTCAATATGCAAAACAAAAATAGCATTCACTCAATCACTGTTAGCAGGTCTTTTGAACAATATTGTTAGAGATATTGTAATTGGCTTCATTGCCAGGACTGCAGATAGCAGAAAAATAAAGTCAGGGACTATTAGTTGGCAACATCAGAGTTGTCCATTTTATGCATGTCTAGATAAACTGCACCAGATCAATCTTTTGACTGGGACAAAAAGGATCGTTCCAAATTATTTCAGTGTGTACATTTGTTGCTCAATTAGTTTATAAAAGTTCATGAATGATTTTTGTGACTTTGTAGAAATAATATCAAGTCTACAAATTGAAGTGAACAAGACTTCAACTTGAGAAACAGAAACAAGACATAGACTAAAGTGTAGTTTGATATAAAAGACCATAAAATTTACAATAGGAGGACACCATGCTACCTCAAGTACACCATTTGTCAAACCACAGTGCCTTTTCTGTAAGGCAATGATTCTGAAGTGGTTCATGTTCATTTTACATTGCTTTCATACAGTGTTTGAAAAATCAGTAAAGCAAGTGTAATCAAAGAATTCTACTCCAGCTTTTGAAGGGAGATGTATTTGGACCTGCTTAAGTTCTAGTAATTATGCCTGGCCAAATCTATTTGTACTTACTGTTATGCAATACACCTTCCCATTATTGAAGAACAGTGACAGTGCCTCTTTTTAGCTACTCCACAGCAGCATATTTTCTGCCACTAGTTAGAGGGAGGCCCAAGACAAAGCAGAGACAAAAGGAGGATTGATAGCAGTGAATTACCCCAAACTACTCTTATCCAATAAAACTTGCTAGTAGAGGTAGATAATACCATAGCTGCCAGGAGTGGTCCTAACATTTTTGGGAAGGACACATTCCTTTTTTAAAAGGAAATTGCTAAGTCACTATCAGGAATATGCATCCTGAAAAAAATATGGTTTGTGTATTTGGTTACCTATTGTATTGACTAAACTAAAAAAAACCAAAAGAACTGCGGATGCTGTAAATCAGGTAAATCATGCTGTAAATCCCCTATTGTATTAACTATTGTTTTTACAACAACTGAATAAATAACAGTTTATAGAAAGATGTATTAATCAATGCTTTCTGGTAATGTATTTTACTGCTTAAAAACACTTTCTAAAAAAAAGCAAATGCAAGACAATATTTGCATTCCAACGATTGACAGAATCAGGACGACATTGTCGCCGTATAGGAGCTAAAACGACACGGCTGGTGGCATTTAAAAGGCATGCACGAGAAACAGATTAGGTTTATATTTGCAAGTGCAAAGGTTTTTTTTTTTTTTTTAAAAAAAGAAAACATTTTACATTGAACACAACGCTCCTGGTCATATCGTTGGATATGCCTAAGTTACAAATCGGCACATGGCCACATGTGATGATCAGCGATTACCTGAGCTGTCCATGGTGCTGTAGCGGTCTGGCTGCGGAAATGGGCCGCTCGCTGTTAGTGAGGCTGTCGCTGGGTTCTCCGTCTGCACTGCATCAGCTGGTCGCAGCCTGCTGTCCAAATCCCCTGCACTGCTGTCCACCAAATGCAAAGATTCGTAACCGTCATAATTGGTCTTCTTGCGATAGTTTCCAAGAAGGCTCATGGAGCACTAGAAAAGGTCACCAAAAAGCTCGTTTGCAGACAAAGGGGGAAGAGCCAGTCATGACCTTGTCCAATGATCTGATGTCTTTTAAAAGAAGGCTGGAGCGGGTTTTGTTCCGGGTAAGTGGGGCGGAAATCAATAAGGAAAGAGCCTCCCGGTACGATTCAGGACTTGCACAGCTGCCCGACTGGCGGTTTCTTGCTGTTTTAACGGGTATTTCTGAGCTTCGGCCTGGCTCCTTGCCAGAGAGATCATGGAGGCGGTCACCTCCAATCTTCAGCTAGCTGCCTGTAGCCTGCCTGCAATCTTGTCTGTCTTTGAAAATAATATCACTCCAAGCATTCATTGTAATTGAATAGTTCATGTTGCAATCGATATTTCAAACGCGAATCTGATAAGCTTCATTTTCTCTCCATTGATGGTCATTATGAATTTTATTAGGTGTTGTCCCTCGGGGCATGACTCTAGTGATGCCCAACCTTGTAACGTCTTATTCGATTCCCGCGATATCTCAGGAGATGGGACTATTGAAAAAGGCATTGGAAACTAATCTGGACTTCACTTAAAAATCCCTCTAGCTGCATTTGCTGTCGTTAGATGGTAATAAGGATTGAGACACCCTAACCCCCCCATATCCTCGGATACATTAAAAGCCAGATTGCTCAACAGCTCGTCGTCAACTTCCTTAAAAATGTTATTTCCATATTTTTGAGTATTTCCATTTATTTCACTCACGTTACCATTTTATGAAAAAGACAACTATCTATTGTCCTCTCATTGCAACACCACAAACTATTTATTCATCTTGCATATCAATTATGAAAAATGAGGGACAAACTTTGTCCCATAAAAATCACAATTGCTGGCAACCTACAATAGAAAAAAAATGGTCAGATCAGTGACCACCTGCAAATAAAAGTTTGGTCACATTTCAGATACTGTGCACTGTCTCAGGCACAAATCCGAGAGATTTTTTTTCAACCAGAAGATCTTTATTGCATTTTCAGGTGTTTATTTCCCCATTGTGCTTTTTCAGTTTTATTTATAATAGCCACCACTAGAAGTTGCAGATGAACACAGCAAAAGAGATGTCCTATTGTTCCTTGTAGTAAAATCACAAATGCATTTTCATACATGTACATGGAATTTGATTACATGTTAGCAGGGAAATCCCACTTCCCACTACCCTTGTGCCTAGAGAGACCACCGCAGACACATACCTTCCTCCCTGCACCCCACCCCTCCCCAACTGAACATAATGAGGGTACTTATGATATCACAACAAAATTAACTGTACAGAGAGAAAGGTTAAACAGTTAGTCAGAGATCTACAGCACATAGAAAGGTCCTTCAACCCATCAAGTCTGTACCAGAAGTCATATCCCTTTTATAATATGGATTCCAGAACTGTACTCGAGCTGTGGCCCAACCAACATTTTATGCAGCTCCAGCAGAACAGTAGGAGGTTAAGTATCCCACATGCTTCCTTAACCACTTCACCTGCCCTGTTACCTTAAAGGGACTAGTGAACATGAACAAAGGTCCCTCTGATCCTCAATGCTTCCCAGGGCCTAACCATTCATCAGGTATTCCCTTGCGTTTGGGCAGGCCAAACAAGGCATCACCTCACACTCATCCAGATTGAATTCCATTTCCCCCTGAACAGCCCATCTACATCCTCCTGTCATTTAAAGCTCCCCTCCTCCCTGCTTATCACCCCAACAATTTTCATATGATCTTCAGACTTAAAGAGATCAACCCTCCTACACTCAAAGTCTATTTTTATTTTTTTGTATACCACAAACAGCAAGGCCTCCAATACTGATCTCTGCAGAACGCCACTGGAGACAGGCTTTCAGTCACAAAAACACCTTTCAACCAATATCCTCTGCTTCCTGCCACTAGGCCAATTCTGGATCCAATTAGCCCAACTACCTTGGATCCCATGTCCTATCAGTCTCCCATATGGGACCTTATCAAAAGGCTGAGGTCCAAGTAGACTACGTTGCCCTCATCGAGGCACTTGATCACTTCTTTCAAAAATATAATCAAGTTGTTCAGATATGCCTTCCTCTTAACAAAAGAATACTGACTGCTCAAGATTAATTTGCATTTGGAGAGGCAGAAATTAATTCTACCCCTCAGAATTTCTTCCAATACTTTTCACACCACCACCGAGGTTAGATTGAAGGGCCTGTAGTTTCCTGGTTTATCTCTAGCTCCCTTCTTGAATAATGGTACCACGTTGGTTGCCCTCCAGTTGTTTGGAGCATCTCCTGTGGTCAGAGAGGAATTGAAAATTGTCATTCCCCCTATGTCCCACCTTGCTTCATTCAACAGCCTGGGATAAGTTTCATCCCACCCTGGAGATTTATCTACTTTTAAGACCACCAGACCACTCAGTACCTCCTCTTTGTCAATGCTAGTTTCTGTTGGGTACAATTTTGATAAAGCTGGATTCAATACATTTCCATAAAGCTCACAACTCTTCCCTCTCCTTTCCCAAGGATACTGATGGAAGTCAGGTTATAGTTTCACACATACATGTTTAGTTAGGAGCCATATACTCCATGTTGCAGTTTTTCCTCACATTCAAGATCACTGCTGCAAAGATTCACTTAGATCAACAATTAAACTTTTCAAATTCTGTTTCCAAAACTGGAACAACAAACAGTGTGAATGCCAAATATTTTGTGGCAATGGGTTTCCAAGTCATACCTAGATCAATGAAAGGTTATGGTTATTGGAAGTCATTCATCACAGTCCAAGGATATCTCTGCAACATTTCAACCAGATAGATATTTTCTAAACAACCAGCTCAGACATATTATTATACACCTCTGGAACAGGTGAAACTTGAATCTAGGCCTCCTGACCAACAGACATGGACATTACCACTGCATCACAAGAGACCTTTTCACCAGGATAGTGTCCAAGGCTAATCCATCTTCAACAACATTCCCTCCAACACCAACTGGGGATATTCACTCATAATTGCACAGGTGTTCAACATCAATTCCAGCTCCTCACCAAGCACCATACAGGAAAGTTTTTGGGAAACATTCAGGATTTGACTGATAAATGGCATCATTCTTTTTCTAGGTAATGACTGTCTACAATAGACTGGTGTATAACCATCATTTTTTGACATTCATTGAGGATACCACTACTGAATCCCTGATCATTAACATCCCAGCTGTCACCACTAACCAGAAATTTAACTGACCAGTTATATGAATGGTGCAGTGCACAAGCAAGTTAAAGCTGGGAATGTTGCAGCAAGTAGTTCATCTCCTGACTCCCTGGAGCTTTTATGCCATCTCCAAAAAAATGTGATGGAATACTCTCCACCTCACCCGAGCTAAATGCAAATCTAACACCACAGTCTGCTTGATCAGCATCCCATCCATAGTCTTAAACATTCACTCCATCCTTCCAATAGGAATAGGAGCAATGTGAACCATCCACAAGAAGAATAGCAGTAACTTGTAGTGCCTTATACCTAAATAGACAATAGCAGACTTGTGCAAATAGCACCACCTCTAAAGTTCTCCTCCAAACCCCACACCACTCTGAATTGGAAATATTTCGCTATCCTGTAATTTGAGTCAAAATCATGGAACTGCTTTTTAACAGCACTGAGTGCACCAACATGACAAACAACAGTGATTCAAGAATGTGACTCATCTTCTAAAGGACATTTATGGATAAGCAATAAATGCTGGCCTAACTGAGTGACATCCAAATCACGTGAATAAGAAAAGAAAACTTAGGAAAACCCAGATGCTTTTGCGATGTTGTTCCTGCTGATTAATACTGGAAGGAACTTTTTTTTACCCAGTGAAAGCTCAACACACTGTCCAGCCTCTCAAATAGAAAATTAAGAGCAGGGGTCCTTTTGAAACACATCATCTGCTACTTACTCGATATTTGTGTCCACTGAAGACTGCTTGATAGTTTCCATGGAGATTGGTAGCCTTCAAAGAATGTACTACCCCTGAAGCTTTACTTTCATGTAACTTTCATGTTTACTGGAAAGTATCTCATTAGCAGAAGGTTGTCATGCAAAGGACAATAGCCTCTCTCAAGTCACAATTCACTGACCTGCCTCCTCTTACATGACCAGATACATTTAGAAAAATCCATTAATACAAATCCTGGAGATAAAATGTCCACATCCACCAGGTATGATTACACCTGTATTTTTGCGGCTTTATAACAATCACATTTCTCTCCTGCCCTCAACCTGCTCCTTCCTCAGCATCATGGTATTCAGAAATCCTGTTCCCTTCACACTGTTCAATGAAATACAAACCAAGAATAATAGGGATAAACAAAATTGTAAACATGACAGTTCATGGACTAAAAATTAATGAATGAATAGAACAAAATGCTATAAAAAGAATATCTTCAGTGACACAAATAACAAACATTCAACATTTAAACTAAGCTTCTTAAGCCAACCAACTAGTTCACCTTCCACATGTCTTTTGTCATCATGACTGAAATATGCTGCATGCCTATGAGCCTGGTCCAAAGTCAGATATTACTTGAAATAAAATTTAAATTCAAACAGGAACCATGCATAGACATAGGGTGATCTTCTCTCCTCACTCCCATCTTTGGAGAAAAAGATGCTATGTAAATCAGGCACACAAGGTGGAGGCTTTGTTTTCTAACAGTTTTATCAGTAACTGATAGCACAACCATGTACCTGTTTGTTGCAATTATTTCAACTGAAAGCTTTTTTTAATGCACAGGTCTATAATCAGAACATGAAAGTCACACTGGTGATATTCACAGAGCTGGAGCCTGTGTAATATCTGCTCTAGATCTCGAAGAAGTAATAAAAAAAGTGAAAGGGACAGGTATTTAAGTGATCGTAAATCAGAACTTAATATTCTACGCTGGACTTATCCACAATTCAAATAATGAGACGGAAACTGCAACATTGGTAGACGCAACTTCAAATAGAATTGATTCTGGAATGTACGAGTATTTGTAGCTTAACTACA